TGACTATACAGGCGAAACGTCTGGAGATTTATCAAGTCCATGATCCTAAGCTGGAAATTATCATAACCACTATGGTAGAGCACCTCTAACAGGATGCGTCTAACTAGGTCACCCAGGCAAGTTGCGAAATTAGGTCTGACAATCTCTACGCCGCAAAGGGGATTGTGGCCACACAATTTTGGCCTTACAGCCTCTTCTTAGTGTCACTCTTTTTGACTATATCTTACCAAACAAGAATTTCTGGGTTTTATTTTTCAACTAATGTAGCTGATGATGCATTATATGCTATTTTTCGTTTATAAGCAGAGTTTCGAGACTACCATTAAATCAGTAGCCTTGCTTTGAACAAGTTTATAGCTCTTTTTTATGAGGTGTATTTACCTTATTTAATTTAAGATTTGAATTGGTAATTGAATTTTCCCACAGTGATATAAGTAGAGCTGACATTTCCATTGAATTTCACAGAGCCTTGCTTTCCCAAACGTTGTTCTCATCCAGGGTGGATTGCAGTTTCGACATCACCTAGGCCTTATCAACACTCAAAGCGGGACTCGAACCATGACAGTGCAGCGTGTAATCTCGACACGTTAACTACTACACCACATTGCCACGAGTGTCCTTGAGTCACGGGGTAGATTTAAGCTTCAAGGAAAGCCAGGCATTTTCCCATATCACATTCTTTTGTGGGATTTTCGATGAAGTGAAGTTAAATTTGCAGTCTACCTTGGATGAGAACACCTTTTGAGAAAGCAAGGCTATGTGAAATTCAATGTAAACGTCAGCTCTATTCATATCATCGTGGGAAAATTCAATTACCATTCTTCCATCATCTTAAACCGACTAGACTAAATACATTGTATTATATGTTGTTAGATTGAACATGTTTTATATTTTTTAACTTCGATCCTTAACATTTTTTATAATATGTCATTTTTTACTCCTCACTGCTATATTTCCTCAAAATCCCAAGTAAATTCGTTTTTTCTTTAGAGCCAAGTACTTTCGGCTGGATAAACAATTCACTATTATAAAATAATAAAATATTACGTTATGTTTATCTTTTAAGCTATTATGTATTATTTTCTAGTCTTCATTTCACAAACGTTTATAGCTCTTTTTTCAACGACTGTGGCCACTTGAACGTCCTCTTGGTTGACTGTGAATCCGAGACACGATTTACTCGTTACCCAATGAGTACATTTTGGGATGGCTTTGAAAACAAAAAGAGTAAGCCAAAGTGTTGAAGAAATTGTCTTGGTTGCTTTATTTTCTTGTGGTAAAGTTTTCCATCTTTTCAATTGTTTCTTTGTTAGCTATCCTTTGTGTTGTCATAAACTCAATTATCTTGTGATAAGCCTTTCCCTTATTTAAACATCTTTATATATGGGTTTGGAGTTCGTATTTATTATCCTTTTTCGGGTACATCTAAATGGTTATAGCTCTTCATCATATATAGATGAAAATATAGATTTACTCCACAAGACGGAATATGTTATACTTAATACTTCAATCTCAATTTCAAAAGTTCTACAGTCCAGATTAAAATAGTTATGCTTCGTATATAATAAGTGATTTCCATTCCATCGTTTTTAAAATACCTTTATTTCACAGCATTTACATTAACTATACTTTTCCAAATATTCAACTTTGCTTTGACGCTGATTTGAACGTTGAAATCCTCTAACCAGCTACCGCTATTTTGAAGGCCTCGTATGCAAGTTGATGGTATTCGTGCTAGCTAAATCTGCATTAGTTTCCATAGTCAACTCAAACAAGCAATGCGATTCTATCTTGCCGGCTCTCACAGAATATTCCCAACTAAGAAGATCAGGATTACGATTGTGAGCCCTTCTCGATTGAGAACTTCCTAAAGCTGCTGTACCAATTTTCCAAGATGCTTTTTTACAAAAACATTGAATGTAGTTATACATAGGAATTCATTCTTACTATTCTTATTCTCCCGCTTCCTAAGTGTTCTGGCTCCATTCTTCTACCTACTTCGTCTTTTATCACATCTTATTCGTCTTCTGTATTCGGTTAAGAATAATTAAAATCACTTGGTCATACGCCATACGAAAACTTCCCTCTTCGTTCTTTTATATTATCCCGATACTCCTTGACTTTTTAATTCCCCTCAAAATATCGTCTGTATTTCTTTTCCGGCTTCGCTCCGTTTTATCTTTGCCTACGTCATTCTTACGCATTCAGATATTGGCTAATAATATGATAAGGCATTATATGTGTGCATAAATTCATATGCATGCATGTATATCTTTAATATGATATTCTGCGTTGTAATATAGCTCGCTAATAATGTAGTACCAGATGGTTATCTTTGAGGGTAGAGGGATAAACTAAGATGGCCAAACATTCACAGACTTTATTATTTGTTTCCTAGGTATGTGGCCTTCTGTTTGGTTGTAGTCTCCTTAAGCTTTATGACGTTGGTTCGATCTTGTTTTCTCAACTTGGTCGGAGCGTCAGGGAGGCCTTGTGGAATGTACCTATTCCTGTGTCATCTGCCATTGTATACTTGATTTCCAGCATAGGATTGACTTCACTTATCACTTTTATAAGTTGTAACTCTGTGCTGACGAGGCTGGCGAAACGTTTGGGAATGTAACAAGTCAATGATCCGATGCTGGAAATCATGTATACTATGGCAGAGGACACAGGACTAGGTACATTCCACAAGGTCTCATTGACGCTCCGACCAATTTGCCGAAACAAGATCGAATCAACACTTATTTTTTGTATTTTTGCATATCTTTATGACTTGACTGCATTTCAATGCCCTGTCGGCGCCTAAATTCACTTGCTTCCTGATTATTGTTTACTAATTGCTCACATGGCTAGCTGACTTATGGCGCTAGTTCTATTATCTTTGTATCTCTCATATTAGAAATTGGGGGGAAAGGATTCCCAGTGTTGCTTGTATTTATGTTGTATTATTGCTAAGGGATGCTGTTTTCGGGCTTACTGCTCACTGACGCTCTATTTTTTACTATCATGGCGTACCATTGCTGATCATTCTTCATCTATGGGATACACATCGAGAATATGTGTTTCATAAGGATTCTATTTAATTCATTCCTGTTCAACTGGTACTTCTTCTAGCTACTTCTCCCTGCTAGCCACCGCATCTACGCTAAATTAGCCAGTTTGAATGCTTCTATCATATTTGAATCTTCGTTTTAATCTAAGTTGGAATGCTGATGCCGACTAGGCCAATTAGAACCTGCATTCCACCAAACATGAAAACGCTTTTTAGTAGTCAAGTAAGCCTATAGTATTTTTGGATATTCGTAGGAATTTCGAAAAGTATTTCTCACATCGCTTTAATAGACATTATAGAACTCGTATTCTTACGCAGGATTTATTATTAAAGTTTGGAACGTACTTATTTCATTTACTTTCATGTCTATCTTCTTATTTACTAGAAAAGTTGAAAACAATAAAGTGAATGCCATCAGCAGTTAGAAGGATGCTCAATGATGCCACGTAAAGGCAAAATAGGGACAAATCGTTGGTATAGCTGCGACTAGCCACTCTGAAGAAGGTCAATTCGTATTTGAATGATTTATAAAAAATCCTCGATTTTACACAGAATCTGTAAATATTTCTAATTTTGACGTGGTCTTTAATGCTTCAATTATGCACTCAGGTTCTTTGCCAACTTACTCGGTCACCAATGTACACGATAGTTGACCGAGAAAAGAAAAATGTCCGAACTCGACCAGAGCTAAGCCACACTTCCCTATACTATTAATTTTTTTCACTCTTCTATACCTTACTTCTTACCTATCCCTCTATACGGGTTGTTTTCATTATATCCATCGGCTTCAAAAAGTAGACACTTTCATACTTTGCACATTTTAAATGTTGCTTTGATTATAACCAATATCTATTAAGAAGCACTGCAACGTTTAGGTTGAACTTAGTTGTGGTCAGAATTAAAGTAACTAATTATATACTACTGGTGAAGTAAAAACCTTGACTCGATCATTAACCTATTCTCTAATTTTCATTTTCTTATTTGATCACTCATTAACTTCTTTAGTTAATATTGTTGAAATTTGCTATTTCTAAACATGGTATGCAATAAATTTATTTTCCTTCCTTTTTTCATGCTGTGTTTACACAATGCCACAAATTGCACTACTCGTTATTTTTGAACTTAAGAGCGTCTATTGTCAAAGGACGGCCGATACATCTCACTCAAAGTGAAGGATTGGCCCTGCACGGATGACTTTGCCGAGTACCAGCCTGCTCGATATTCAAATCTGATGGCTAATCTGCCCATCTGGCAATACACTCATCGGGATGGACAGCTTAATCTAGCCGCTCGTCTTCCTTCCTTCTTTGTAAGGCCTGATCTAGGACCAAAGCTCTACATCGCCTACGGCATGGCAAGACAAACATCTGTAAGTTTATTGCATCACCAAACATCAAAAACGCTTGTGCAACTGTAATCTTGATAATATAATCTGTTCTCTCAACCCGAGCAGTGATGGTCTGACCCCTGAATTTGTTCACCATTCATAATTCATTGGTCCCCTGATCATTCTATGC